AATATACCTATTATGTATTACATTCGAGTTTCTACAGATATACCAACGTGTTAAACTCATTGTAAAATACATATTGGCAGTACAATAAAATTAAAATGTTATATTCTTATTTGTGTAGTGGGCTGTTTGGTATTGAGTATTCGAGTGAAATAATATGCGTAGACCCAATTAAAAATATACATACAACTGACAGGATATATAAATTGATAAAAACATTTTGTTTCTGTAAATTGTTAAATAGATGATGATTTTGAAATTGTTGATGCATATAAATCGAAATAAATTTGAACATGCAGTTTCTTTGTTGTTAAATTGTAGGTATGATCTCAACATTATCTATTCACCCATGATAACATTATGTTAATAGATATGGTTTTTAGTTAGATTATGTAATGATTTTACATTAAACATAAAATAGATGTTGTATACTGATATTTAGTCCAGGATTTAACTACTAATAAAGCTCAGATCATTTTTCAAATTAAAAAATGCTAATATATTATTATTACTTAGGTACCTACTTAAGTACTAGAATTAATTCTAAGATATGAAGGGAATTCCTAGATTTCATCAACCACATCTTTAAATGTATTATCATAGATTATAATTATCCTAACAACATGAAAACTATTCATTCAAATTTAAATTTGTAAATATATAATAATATCAACAATAAAAAAAAAATCATCTGCAGTTTATAAAACAAAAAGTGGTTTTATTCGGAAGAAACATGTCCGTGTCCCCTATAGCTAGGATAATTTTTGAATAAGATAGAACATAGGTATTATAATTGAAAGTATGGTTTTACGAATACTTAAAAGTGTTAAAACATCAGAATATGAATACATTCTTTATTAAGAGGATGTCATACCCACATGTGTTGTCTCCGTCTTACAAATGTACAACACAACAAAAACTGCAGTTTTGAACAGGACAACTTTTCTCTCACCATACTTGTTGTAGAACTACTAAATTTTCACAACACGTAAAGAAGAACTTTATCTGTGCAACAGAGCGTGTTTTTTTTAATAGCACTATCCAATCATTTTTTTATAAGCAAATGAAAAAAAAAACAAAAAAACTAAATGTTTAGAAACAAATAACTTTTATTGTATTTATGTTATCTAAAATATAGGCATGGTGTTGAATAGACAATTTTCTACCCTATATGTTCAGAAATTTTGGAGTCAATTACTACAAGCACAGACAGATAAAAGTTGTCTCGTGCAAAACAGTTTTTGTTATGTTGTACATTTGTAAGACGGAGACAACACAAGTGTGTCCCCTTAAAGGAAAAAATAAAAATAAGTATACCTGGTGAGTGGTGAATGACTATAAACAGGGTGCTGTATGCTGCATACTTGTTGAACACTACTGAAGAGAGCAAAGGCGATACACCATACATATAACACAACAACGTCCGGTAATTAACTTTAACTGACTTTATTGATTATTCTTTAAGTCAGGATGTCACAATGGTAAGGACCTCTCTTAAGGCTAACAGTGTGTCCAACCCTCAATTTTAATTACAGTAGTAAAATAATTCCAACTTAAGTCTTAATTTATAACATATTGATAAAATGTTATTGCCTAATAAACTATTTATTGCATATAATAGCATACTACAACTATAATTATATGCAATAACAACAAAATATCCAAAAATATCCAAAATAAAATGTTGAATATTTCCTCCTTATGTTATGAAACATGTTTATATAAATATACATCACCCACATTGTTCTGTGATTATTTAGAAAATATATTAAAATGCCAGCCCAAATAATGACCAAAGGAAAAATAGCTGTTATTACGTGAATGGCGGTTGTCTCTGCAAATTCACCTAGGTTATACCGCGGTTTCGGTGTTTGGAGTACCACAGGTTTATATAACCTCACCGTGGAATTCGCGGAAGGACGGGTTTGGAAAGTTGTCAATTTGTCACCAAAAACAGTTACCGGAAAAATCTGTTGAGCCCATTGAGGTTTACCATATTATATATTATTGTTAATGGTACTCGTATCCGACGGATAGCAGTGATGTTTTCTGCCAGTTTTATTAAATAGTCGGCGCTCGTGCCTGTCTTATCCGCTTCCGTCATCCAATTATCGATATCACTTCTGTAGGTAATATAATTCACTGATTATATTATACATATATTAAACCTACTCGATTTAGGGAATTCATGAATTGGATAGCAATATCCGATAATTTAGTTTATACCTAATAAGTAATAAGCATTTGTAAATAACAAAACATTATTATACCACAGAATAGATATCTATTCTGTGATTATACGATTGTAGCACTAATATTTGACAACGTTCGAAACATGGTCGAAGGCGTCAAGTGTAGACATATAAACTATCAAACGCGTATTTTAAGTTACATATTAAAATTTTTTATACATATTTATATACATAGTATAGATGCACAGTACTTTTATAAATCATTTTTCCTGTAGACGCAGTAGAGAGAATATTTAAAATGTTAGGTAGTTGATACAACGATTAGCGTTTTAACTAATACTGTGATATTACTACTACTAATTAATAACAAATTGTAAATAGTGATAAAGTTAAATTAATAATTAGCTAAAAATTAACTCATCGAAAAAATTTTGTTATTATCCATAGTAAATCAGTCATAACTCATCACTATAGTCGCGTGTTCAGACGTTTATCAATCATGACCACCACTACAGGAAGGTACAGTGCAGTGGCGTTATCAGGAATTGTCAATGGGGAGGGAGTAGGGGAGGTTGTAGATAATTTTTAGGAACATATGTAAGGGAGCTATTGGAGTACAAAAAAACGGGAGAGTATGAATCCCCCCCGTGAGTACACCCATGTTGCAGTGTGTGTGAAGAACTTTCAGACCGCTGCGCTGTTTATTTATAAAAAGAGGTGATAATAGCCGAAAGATCTAATAATATTTTTTCTATAAGTTTTAACAAAATAATATTACCTCTCAATATTATTATTATATTATGAGCTGTAAGTTTTAACATTAAATTATTTAATTACTACAGATATTTTTCGCCGTATACATTCCCTCAATATCTAATAAGGACATAATAGGCATACATATATTGAGTATAATAAAAATAAGTCACGCATGATTTAATTTAATTTTATAATATTACTGTCACAGCTGACTTTATCGTCTTTACCAGGTTATTATGTAATTTTTATCACTTGGAGTAGGTACCCTCTTTCATTTTACCTATTTAACAATCGGTTTTTGTTTTCTTATTTTTCGTACCTCGGGTATTAACCACATAATTTGTAGTTCATACATAATATCATAGATAATATGCACAGCGATCACAAGTTCGATTATAACGAAGGAAATGTCGTCCAATATTGTTTGGCATAATTAAGTCTCTCCTCTCCGTGAGTTTGGCGTATAGGTTATTGCCATTTTTTTTATGAGTCAGAATTCAGCGCACTGCAGTATGGGCACAGCCGTGTTATTAGGTCGAAAGCGATCGTATACGCTGTTATAAACTATAATTTACATTATCGATCATAACGTCACATGAAGGCTGACAAAATATGCGGAACCGGGTGTTTTTCAGCATTATATAGGTACTTGATATTATTACAATATTACCCCATAAGTGATGTGCTCGTATACCAGTGGAAAACACTGCAAAAGCGTCTGTCACGCCACGAACTTTCCTACTTTCTAAAGCCCGATGGCAAAATAATAAAATAATAATAATAATAGTTTAATGGTATGTGGCCGTTTCGTTTGGTAACATAACACAATAATATATTATACCACGCATAAAAATGTATATGGTGTCGGGCGTGGGCCATGTAGATATACGTCACCGTATACTGATCCTGGTCATACATACCTACGCACGTAAACACACAACCGAGTTGCTCTGTATTATATACTTGTAATATAATATTAGTTAAACAAAAGTAAATGAACGATCTCACAACTCAATACGTCACAGCAGATAATTAAAAATGTAAATAATTGGTATAAATAGTAGTTTAGTTCATGCATAAAATAACTCGGTTATATAGATATAAAAGTTTATTAGTTTACTATTATAAAATAATAATTAAGATTTTTATTTTAACTGATTAATTGATCACTAAGTTATATATTATTACGAATTTGAATACTCATGAGAACAAACGGTACCTATTTCACAATTCAGAAAATCATAATTATTCATTCTTGGGATATATGTATTATCCCCCATATAATGATTATAAAGGGAGCGGAGTGGCCGAGCGAACTAAGGCGTCGGTTGCAACTCGCACCGTCGCCGGTTCGAATCGGCCACGGACGGCATTATTCTTCGGGCAGTTCCGATGTCCGGAGAGAGAGGCCGCCATCCCCCACCCGGGCATGGCAGGTATCTACGGGTGCCCACTTCAAAATATAATATAAAATAAATTGAATGGTAAAATGTTCATATGCCTCACAATTAACAGTAAAAAATGTAGGTCTCATTTGAAAAAAAGAAGTGTGTATAACCACGGGACGCTTCTTAAATGCAGAAATCTCACAATTTAAAATAATAATATGGTCTATGAGCATATTTAAAATTATAATTTGAATAAATTTATTATTAAAGGAAAAAATGAGAGTGAGCATGCTGGTAAATCCCACTGTATATTCTCGTATTTAATTAACTTTTAATTTGAATTAAATTGTATTCCAGACACAGTAAGCATATACCATCATGAGCTTGAACAAAGGACGTGCAGGCTGCAGTTAAGCGGCAAGTCAATTGACTAGGCCGTATTTTTCGATGCCAAATATATCGTTAATAGCACCTGAAACTGCAGAAAAGATAATTCAAGCGCCGTCAGCTACGACAGTCCCGACTAATCTAAATCCCTACCAGAACTCAGTGTAGCTGTGTCGGTCACGTGCCGGTGTGTGGATCTGCAGAATTCGGATGTTGCAATAAAGGACCTAGTGGTAACCTTGGTCAAACCTATAGGAGCCGATCTTGTACATTGAACGACATGGATTTGGACTTGGCCAAGAGTCGAGCGAGCTATTACGCTTCTAGTCGACTGACCAAAATGTATTGTTCGAAGCCAAATATTATGTTAATGAAACAGGAAACGGCAATCCAAGTTCCGTCCGTCACGATTGGGATTGATGGAGTTGAAGACACCGACCAAACCCAATGCAGCGATGTCGGTCTCCTGTGTGAAACTGCAGAATATATATGCTGCCATAATGGACTAGATGGTAAAGACGAATAGGGTCAAACCTATAGCTCCGTTCATTTTGGAAAAATTTTTAAAAAAATTTTCAGGCGATTATTGTGCAGCTCGTAGTTCCCAGCAATTTTATTGCTGTTGTGCCATTGTAGATGCTGTTATATAGTACCTAACCTTCGACAGAGCAAAGAAATAATTAAAAAAAATTATTTCAATGCTCTGTCGAAGGTGTATAAAATGTATGAAATGTATAACATTTTTGAAATAATTGTACAAAATTTCCAAGTAAAATGAAATGTTCAAATAATAATTTGCATCACATTATTAAATTATTTATGTTAGAGGTATATTATTATCTATAAGTTAGGTACACTTTTGATAAATATTCCTGTATATTATGTAAAAATATTTGAAATGATTATATGTACCTACTGTAAATTGTACTAATTTAGCACAAATATATATTTTCGTTGAATAATTCAATTGGCTTCTTTTTATGTATTATTAGTAAACGCCAAAACGCTTTGTAAAATGAATTTATAGAGTGTGAAAATATTGTGGCTAGTTATTTCGGTTTTTTTGTAACTGCTTTAAAAAAAAATTATGTAAGTGGCCTGAAATTGAATTTAAGCTTTTTGACCGAGGGACAAAAATTGTTATTTTGTGACTTAATAATATTAATATTTTTTAACTTCCATTAAATAAACTTATACATCAAATTTTCAAGTCTAAGGTGGTTAAAGTTAACATTTCTTGCAAATTTTCTTAAATTTTATGAATTTTGTAAAAATTTGAAATTTAAAGGCTTATCCAAAAAAATTGATTAAGTATTTTTAATATTTTGTAATTTCTGTAGGAACAACTTATGAGGTACTTTGTATTTCACTATAAATGTTATTATGCTCAAAACGAACAAAAATAACATTATGATAACTTATAACTGTCTTAACTATTTAATTTAAAACGGGAGACCCAATTTAAAACTGACTTGTTATGTATATACTCGTAAAAAAATAGTATATCTAAGTACCTAAATAAAAACCACGAGTAAGTTACTAAGTTAGAAAGTTAAAATCGATTTTTCATTGACTTCATACCTAACACGTTAATGACTAGATCTTGGGTAGTTGGGTTATAATTATAATTTATTATAGTGGTTATCACGCCGAGGACTCCAAACATTACTACAGTACATCTATTACGAGTACCTTCGTCGCTTAAATTACGAGTGCACCTCTTATTATTTAGGTAATTACTATCGCATCGAGATATCTGGAAGACAAAAAGATTAATAGGTATACCATCAGTACGGTTGTGGGTACATATAACATATTATAGCAATGAATAATAGTGATGCCGGTCATTCAACCACAGACAATAAGTCGAGTGGATGCCAAATCATTTTCAACCTGATATTAAATCATTCAATTTCCTTTACTCCCCTCCCTTATTAGTGTAATTACTAAACCATATATTTTCTTTATCAAAATCAAGTTCTTTTAAAAATCTCTCCTTGTACTTTGTAGACGTCATTGCACGTACTATCATTTAGTATCCAGAAGGTACCTACATATTTGATCGTAATAGAACAGTAATTATTGTCACCTCTTATTATTATTATTGTCGGTTCGTCGTCGAAGTGTAACATGTCGTTCCGAATCGACGCCACGTGGTGTACGCGTACGCTCGTAAGGCGAAGGCGGTAGCAGTTAATTTTTTCTTTAGAAAGTCGATGACAGACGATGTACCACATCATACACGCCGGTCTAAAAGTAAAAACCAACTAGTCTTCAGTAAAGAGGGAAAAATAATAACAACAACAACAACGACGATGGCACCGATATTTCACTTGGCATACGAAACTTTAGGCAATTAGGGTGTATGAATTCGGAATTACGACGAAATGCAAGTGCATAAGCATTCTATAATTGTATATTATTATTAAGACCATGATAGTTGTAATATAGGTACCTAATACAAAATGCACAATGCACAATGAATTTAAATGTTATGTTTATATGCTATATACTTATATAGGTAGTGTACCTAGCTTACTAGTTTGTTACACAACCACAATGCACTCATTGCACTCTCTCTGTACGTGATGCACTATACATTTTTATTATGGATTCGCTTTTTGAGTATTGTCATTCGTTAGGCTTGGGATGTACAAGGTCGTCGTTTGTTTTGACACTTGTGTTCTCAATAATGCAATTCTTTAAATTTCTAGCGATACGGGTTTTAGACACACAATATTTATTATAATAATTATTATTTGTATAGACAAGATGATAATATAGAGAGGTCTGCGTGTACCGTACCAAATCTTTGACAAAAACGAAATTTTTTCGACTACCTAAGTATTTATGTTATTTTACATAACTATTAAAATAAAGCCATGGAAAATTTTTCAATGTGATAAAAAAATTATAACTTATGAATACCCTTATGTAGATTTCCAATAATGAATAAAACATGATGATTTTTTAAATATTATATTTCATAAAATGTAAATACTTATTAATTATCAATTAATAATTAATGTCGAATACATGTCGTTAACCGCCATATGAAAATATTAATTTTCTATTCTGAGCTGAGCAATGGATGTATTGGTTCTACAATGATGACATCAATCAATCAAACTATTCAAAATGAAAAGTTAATTAAAGAAAGATGATTCATAGGGGCAATGCAGGTTATCAACCTTCAAGTCTAAACAAAATATTTACCTAGGGTTAAATAACTTAAAAAAAAAAATTGAAGGGGGATGTTGGCGCCCGCAGGCAAATGAATTTTAGAAAACAAAAAAAAAATTAGAAATTAAACAATAGGACCACACATGAAAGAGTTCAAACTAAAATGTCCAGAAACTTAACAGAAAAAACTATTCAAAATGATAAGATCATTAAAGAAAGATGATTCATAGGGCCAATGCAGATTATCAACGTTCAAGTCTAAATAAAATGTTTAACTAGAGTTAAATAACTAAAAAAAAAATGGAAGGGGGATGTTGGCGCCCGCAGGCAAATGAATTTTAGAAAACAAAAAAAAAATTAGAAATTAAACAATAGGACCACACATGAAAGAGTTCAAACTAAAATGTCCAGATTCTTAAATAGATAACACTATTTAAAATAATTAGTGCAGGTTATCAATGTTCACATCTTAACAAAAAATTTAACTAGAGTTAAATAACTAAAAAAAAAAATTGAAGGGGGATGTTGGCGACCGCAGGCAATTGCGTTTTAGAAATAAAAAAAAAAAAAATTAGAAATTAAACAATAGGACCACACATGAAAGAGTTCAAACTAAAGTGTCCTGTGTCCAGAAACTTAACAGAAACAACTAGAATCTTATACAGATAACACAAAACAATAAACAAAAAAATAGAAGAAATTGAATAATAGGACCACACATCAAAGAGTCAAATTATAAAATGTCCAGAATCTTAAAAAGATAACACTAAACAAAAAAACAAAATTAGAAGAAATTAAACAATAGGACCACACATTAAAGAATTCAAACGAAAATGTCCAGATTCTTAAACAGATAACACAAAACAAAAAAAAAATAGAAGACATTTGATATGTAGGTACTTCTTTTGAGTAGATAATTCGTAAATGATATTTAAATATTTTCACCGATAATCAAATACGATGACTTGTAGGTAACTAGAGACTGAGTGAATAGGAATTAGGAAGTGTATGATGTGGCGAAGATAAGGAAAGAGGTCAACAGGATTTCAGAATGTTTAGCTTATATGTAAGGGAAATGCGAAAAAGAAATGTAATTTTAGGTTAGGTTAGCGAAGTGCGTGTAGCAGATATGAGAATATTAAGTTAGGTGTTGAGGTACAAAGGTGGATAGAATAGGAAATGTATTAATTAAAGGTTGTGTAGTGTTGTGTTGTGGCTATATTGTAGTGAAAACAAGAGAGAACAGGTTTAGGTGGCTCCGTGACTGTATGATAAAATATAGTGAGAGTGGCTATGGAAGTTAGAGACTGAAGAAAAGATGGATAGACAGAATACCGATCATATGGAGGTGTGGGATGAGAGTGGTTGAACCTGAATAGTTGTGAGAGAAGGGGGAAGAAAAAGTGTGAAGGTAGAATAGTTATGTTAACGATGCCGAATACGTAGTAAAGGATCTTGAATTGCAAAGGTCACTTGACTCTTTGGCTGAAACTACCGTTATCAGTTGATATAGGTTTACAACCTTGACTTATGGGATAGAATAAAAAAGATCGGTTGCCGGTTGGGATGTCAGCGCCATAGATATATACAACAACTAGATAGCCGTCTCCTTTTTGTCATCGAAGTCGACCCCCCATTTACAAAGCAGGCAATGTTTACAAAATAATATTATCATAGTATATATGTATATAAATAAATGTAAACATTGCCTGCTTTATAAATGGCGGCCGATTTCAACATTGGTCACAACTGTAATATAAAGACGGCTATCTAGTTGTTGTATATATCTATGGCGATGACATCCCAACCGGGAATTCTTTTTTTGGGGGGGGGAGGGGGGGGGCTAAAGTAGCAGTTGCTCCAGGCAGCATGGACGGCCAAATAATTAAGAGTGGCAAAAAAATGTCATTTGTAATATAATAAAAATAAAATATTTAGTAGAATAAATATTAATTTTTTTTTTAACTAATTTGCGATGTCAATATTGTCAGAATATCTAAAATCGTAATGGAATCTTATATTAGAACTTATAGGTCTACTTATTTTAAGAGAACGCTGTTTGTGGACCTTGTTTTCGTAATAACTTAGTACCTACGTACTAATTGAACTATTTTTAATATTATCACTATTCATCACTACATAATATATTGACATGTAATAGCCGCCGGGGCACCGAACTGCCAGAATTATACGATATTGCCACCTACCTTTATATTTTTTTTTTTTTTTTTATTAATTTTTATACCGCGGCAACTTAGGCCATTGAGAGGGGGTTGGTACTGTAGGTTTTTTAACGGTAGGGGGGTGTTACACGTGGGTGTATTTTGGCAGAATTTTGAATGG